AAGGCTGGACACGTGGGGAGGAGGTGTTGGGGGGAGGTCGTGGTGTGCCCCGCTGGGCAGGTCTCGGAGTTGGGGGCGGTGTGGATGGATGAGGCCGGAGAAGCTGGCAGAGAAGAGCCACGAATGCCGTGATGACCGACTTAGACTTTTCGTCCCCGAAAGCGGGGGGCCTGAGAGTGGGGAGCCTGAGAGTGGCTGCCGGGGCCTGTACCTGTGGCCCGGTCCTGCCTGCACCTGGGCCTGGCCAGGGCCGCGCGGAACCGGGAACTAAAATGAAGCCCGGCTCCTGCTGTGTGCCAGGCCCTGAGCTGCTGCTCCACCTCCACGCCCAGAGCTGTCCTGGGAGGAGTAAGCGCCATCACCCCCATTACACAGCTGAGAAAACTGAGGCTCGGGAAGTTTGTCCGAACTGGAAGCTTTCAGCCACCGCCTGCCTCTGGGAGAACAGGAGCCCCATGAATTTGTGTGACTTTACTTCTCCGTCATAAAAGTTTTTCATGTTCCTCAATGGACTTGAGCCTGACTCACCCCCATTTTGCAGATTAAAGAAAACAGTCTGGGAGATGGAGAACACATCTAAAGAAAAACGAAAAAGTCCTAGACGTGTGTAGGTTCTCCCTTTTCGTGGGGACAGCTCCATTCTGCTCACCAGCTGCTCTGGCCTGGACTCTGGGGGGTGGGGTGGGGGGACGGGATCTTGGCTACGGGTTGGCCCCTGGTTTGGGGTGGTTGGCCTAATGCTGAAGACAGAGCACTTTAACAGGACAGCTAGTGGGTCCTTCTTAGCTGGAATCAGGTCCCTTTTCAGGGGGCTGCCTCCTGGGGCAGAGGCAGACTAAGTAGCATCAGTGATGAGGGGAACTTCGGAGCCAGACAGGGTGTCCCCGAGCCTGGACAGTCCCCCTCTCAGCCAGTTTCTGTATCTGCAAAGTTGGGGTTAAACCAAGTACCTTCCTGCTCAAAACACAGGCAGTTGCTGTAAAAAAGATACAGTGTGGACCGCAGATAGTCCAGTGAGCTCTGACGTGGGCAGGTCACTCGCCCCATGGAGCCTCCGTCTAGAAACCGGGTCTTGCCCTGGCCAGGAGGCTCAGTTGGTGGGAGCGTCACCCCGTACACCACAAGGGGGTGGGTTCCATTCCCAGTCAGGGCACATGCCGCGGTTATGGATCTGACCCCCAGTCTGGGCGAGTATGGGAGGCGACCAATCAATGTTTCTCACATCGATGTCTGTCTGCCTCTCTCCCCCTTCCTCTCTCAAATTAATAAAACATCCTTTAAAAAACACACACACACACACACACCTTAGAAATCGGGAGTCTTGGCAGGGAGGGCTTGGAAGGCATGAGATAAGGTGCCACCGTGCCCAGCACACAGTGGGCAGTCCCCGGACCAGCGCCCCCTCTGCCCTCCCGGTACCTGCTCTGACCCAGTGTTTTTCCAGGGCCTCGCTGCCGCTCCGAGTTATGGGCAGAGCGGTGAGTCACGGCTCTGCCTGACCCGCCCTGCAGTCACTGTTGCAGGGGACCTGCTGCTGCGGTGAACCCTAGGTGGGGAGGGCACAGGCACTTGCCCGCAGGGATGGGGTCCCCCAGTTCCCTCCACAAGCCAGTGACCCTGGCGCCTTGCCTCGAAGGAAAGCTCCCTTGGAAAGGCTGGAGACATGTTTAAAATAAAAATAAGTTTCAGCACTTCCACCGTGGAGGGATTGTGGTCACGCCCACCCACAGCCTGGCAGAAGCCAGTCCTGAGGACGCCCTCCACCCCCAGGCCTTAGGTTGTACCCCCTGTCACCATGCCTCTGACTGTCTCCTCCATAAAATCTTCCGGGGCCCTCCAGGCCCAGCACCACGCACCGGTCCTCCCAGACGGCCCAGCCCGACCGCGCTCTGCCACTCGGCCGTAGCTCCCTGGGCAAGATCCTGAGAGCTTCATCCTCACACCCCAAGGGGCCTGTGCCCGGGTAGCTAGCAGGTTTCCAACTGCTGGGGTGAATTTTGCATCTTTTTTTAACAATTGTGAGAAATAGGTTTTCGGGAGAGCTGGCCGTTGTTCAGTCCCTGCTGTGTGCCAGGGACTCCTGTGCACCGTTGCGTTGGCCTAGCCAGCAAGGCTATCCTGGAAGGCGATGGTACCCCCGTGCCAGGCCTCAGAAGTGGAATGCTGGGAGCAGGTGCTTTTGGAGCATTTGCTGGGCTCAGGTTCTAGCTCTTTATGTGTGTTCGTCGTGAATCCTCCCAACGACCCTCTGAGGTAGGTCCTACTATGCCAACTGTATGGATGGGGAAACTGAGGCACAGCGTGGCTCGTTGTCTTGTTCGCGGTCACAGGCTGGCTCCAGAGCACACAGGAGCTGACTTCACCCGCGGCACGTGGCCGGCCATGGTCCTTTGCCAGGGAAACACAGGGACCAGGGCCTTTATCTTCCTGGCCCGGATCTCAGGTCACGCTTCCTGTGGGCCTGGCTGCTGCTCGGCCCGGGGTTGCAGTGGCCACAGGAGGCCCGGACACCTGTTTCCCTCTGGGTTTTCCCAGCTGCCCTGGTGTTCGAAGGGTTCCTCTGGTGAGAGCAACATTGGGGTGAGATCCCTGGCCACCGAGATCCTGACCTTCATTTGCTTCCAGTGTGACCAGAGACACACTCACACTCACTCTGCCCCGGGATTCGCTTTCCCTGTGCAGCAGGGGCCAGAGGAGACATGATTCGGACATATGCATGCAGGCCCGCTTCTTCTAAGCGTGGTCCTGCGGGTAGGCTGGGTCCCAGTTCTGACCGCGCTCTCTTTAGGAGCCTCAGTTTTCCCGCCTGTGAAATGGGTAGATGGCGATCGACAGGCCCAGCTTCTCCTGCGGGGTGTAGTTTGACCTGGAGGCCGGGAGCAGAAGTCTGGCCGTGGTGAGGGTTCAGGGCTGGGCATCCCTCCGACACTCACGCTGTGGTCCCCAGGTGTTCGACGCGGGGGAGATGTTTGGGATCATGCAAGTGGAGGAAGTGGAGGAGGAGAGTGAGGACGAGGCCACACGGGAAGCGCACAGGAAGAAGCCCAACCCGGGCAGCGAGCTCTGCTACAAGGTCATCGTGACCAACGAGAACGGGCTCCAGGCGGCCGACCCCAACAGGTAGGGCCTGGGTGGGACGTCATTGTGGCTGTCAGGGCCAGGCTTCCTTTCAGAGCCCCCCCCCTCCCCGAGACCGGGGGCTTTGGGGAGCAGCAGCCATTGCAGGGCCTCGCGTGCTCCTGTGTGACAAGCCCTGTGGCCGCAGGCTTCCCCGGGGCTCAGGGCTGCGGCGGTCCTGGTACTGGTGGCGCCCCCTGTGGGTCTGTCCTGAGAGCGGCCTCCCATCCACACCCGCCCCTGGTCGCACAGCAGGTGATTGTTCTGGTTTCGCTGAGGAGGAGGCGGGAAGGACTTTGCGAGCACCCCTAGCTGTTGAGTGTGGGTGTGAACCCATCGCAGTCTTACTGGGGAACCCCACTTTTGCTAGGACGCCTGGCCTCTCCTCGTCTCCGGAATAAAATATCCCCGAGGGGCGCCTGGGACCCAGCATGTTCTCTGGGCTTCGTTCCCAGGACTGAGGAGTGTGGTCTGGTTGTGTCCCAGGTGAGGACACCGAGCCCAGAGCAGAGCTGGGCTTGTCCGGGGCCACGGGGTGGACAGGGCAGAGCTAAGACTGGACCCCGCTCCCTGCTTCCCAGGGCCGCCAGCAGGACAGGCCTGCAGGTCCCTCTGCCAGACTCTGCTGGCACCTGGAGGGAGAACCCTCTTGGCCTCTGGGAGTCGTCGGGCCCCGTGTCCGTGGCTCTTCAGGGAAGGGGCTGGCCGCGTTCGCCAGCCCGAGGTGGTGGGAGTGGCCGCCCAGGTCACGGCAACCCCAGCACCTCCGCCACCTGCTCCCTGGTGCAGACACTCCCAGGCCCTTCTTTCCCACGGAGCTCAGCGCTGCAGCCTCCACATGCGCCTGCTCCGTTCCCACCTGTGGGCGCCCAGGGCCCAGCCCCAGGCCCAGGCAAAGCGGGCATGTGGTACCCCCGGGAGCTCTGCACTGTGCCATGTGGGCATGAACTCCAAGCAGGAGGGAGGGGCGCCTTCACTTGCTTTAGGGGATACAAAGTAACAGCATCTTCATGCCTCTGCGGAAGGTCCCAGGACCCCCTCAGATGCCAAACCCGAGGTGCTCAGCTCCCCTGGATAAATGGCGTAGCACAGGGTGGGCAGGAGGAGGTCTGCAGTTGTGAGTACGTGAAGCAGCTTATTCTTTTTTTTAAAATATATTTTATTGATTTCTTACAGAGAAGAAGGGAGAGGGATAGAGAGTTAGAAACATCGATGAGAGAGAAACATCGATCAGCTGCCTCCTGCACACCTCCCACTGGGGATGTGCCCGCAATCAAGGCACATGCCCTTGACCGGAATCGAACCCGGGACCCTTCAGTCCGCAGGCCGACGCTCTATCCACTGAGCCAAACCGGTCAGGGCTTATTCTTGTGTTATTGACCAGTTATTGTATTACTTTCCCTGCGAGCAGCTGTAACCGTACTTCTGTCCCACCTGCATTTGCCTGTAACCTACCCCCACCCTGCGTGTGTTTAATCAGCTCTGGGTTCCTTATAATACCTAATGCAACGTGAGCGTGTGTGAGCTGTTGTTTAGGGAACAGGGGCCAGAAAGCGTCTGCACATGATCCGTACAGATGCCACCCTCGTAGGCCTGACCACACCGCACGCCGGACCCCGCACGGGCGGCAGATGTTCAGCCTGAGGTTGCTGAAGCCAGGGCCGCGGAGGACCGGCTGTGTGAGCGCATAGAGTAGAGCCTGCCGGCCAGCTGAGACCTGGCACACCAGCCGTCCCGGGCATCCTAGCCAGGGAGCAGGCCAGGCCCGTTCATCTGTTTGTGTGGGGTCGGTGTCTGGCAGCCCTGTCCTGGGGGCAGGAGGGCGGGCATAGCCTGGTGCTCCCTCTCAGCCCCTGCGTGTTGCATGGATGCTCTGCACCTCCTCCCCCCAGGCTCCTCCCGGGAAACCGGGGTGCGGGCTGCCGGTGTCCATACGTGTGGGGACCTGAGGCCTCTCCCGGGAAAAGGCCATGGTGCTTCCCAGTTTCCCTGAGGGCCTGGCAAGCGTGATGAGCTCCGCGTGGCGGCTCCTTTGGCTCCTGCCGTGGCCGGGCTGCAGGTGCAGGTGCGCGGCGTGGGGCAGTCCCTCCCGGTCACGG